ACTCCCAACCCCACACACTCTGCCTCTCTGTCTGTGAACTCAATTGCTCCAGGTCCCTCATGTCAGGAATTCTATGGTATGACCTATCTTGTAAAAGTAACTAGGGTTGGGGGCAGGGAGGGTCTCATGTAGCCCAGGCTGTCCTTAAACTCACTCTGTAGCCAGGAATGACCTTGAACTTGTGATCCTCCTGCCTCCACCTCCTGAGTGCTGAGATCACTGCTGTGCACCACCACACCTGTTTTAAGCGGTGCTACAGACTGAACCCAGGGCTTCGTGAGCATTCTACTAAACTACATCCTTAGCCGAAAATCACCTTAAGACCATGTGTACAAAATGCACATTCCTGGCAATGAAATGAGTGCAGAGAGACAATTAAAAAAAAGACAAAAACCTCCATCCCCCGACACATCCCACCCCCCACCCCACCCCTGCTCAGAAGGAAGCCCTGATGCCAGGCCAGCCAGCCTTGCAGGCCGCCCTGCATCCAGACACGGGCTTGCATCATTCATCTGATGGCCCAACTGTAAATCCTCTCTTGTAGTTGGCCTTTTCCATTCAGCATGCCCGCCCCAAGCTCTCCCTTGGTGGCTATAAATACCCAGAGGCCTTGTCATCTGCAGCGGCTGCTGGGCGCACCTTGTCTAGATTCAGCCATGCTGTGCTGTATCTGTCTGGCCTTGAAGGGCACTGGGTCACTGCACGATTTTTGGGGTTCTGAGGTACACAGCAGTAGCCATCCTTAACCAGGAGTCAGATGCACACCTCAGATCTCTTCTCAAGGAGACAGCCCTAAAAAGCAGAAGTCTGGGACCCAGGTGGGAATGGCAGTCCTAAGCCAGATGCCCTTAGAATACAGACCTATTGACGTTCACTTCCCAGTGGCTGTGGAGCTCTGACTTCCACTTTCCAGCGCCAGAATGGAGGGCAGAGGCAGAGGCTACCTCCAGGCTAGAAGCACCAGGAACTTTAACCCACAAACCTGTCCCTGTCATATCAGGACACATCTCTGCTCCTCGCTGGCCAGCAGCTCCACACCCGCCACTTGCACCTTCCTGTCACCTTCCCAGTCCTGCAGAGGGGTGAGCTGGCTGAGGTGGCCTTCAAGGGAATAACAGTCCAAACCTGAAAGGGGCCATGTGAGGTCCTGCCAGCTACCTCTCTGCTCTATACACCGGTCGGCTGGGTGCTGCCTTGTTTAGGGCCTTCCAGCACTCTAGTTTCCTGGCCATCACAGGCCCCGAGGACTGCCGAGCTGCAGGGATAAGGCAGGCCCCCGTCACCCCTAACGCCGGGGGGAGGCCTTCAGCACAGCCACGCTGGGGAACAACCAGCCCCTGCTTCCCTGTGGGAAAGATGCTGTATATGAGCACTGCGGTCCTCTGCTGTGGCCCTGGGTGCTACTCGTTATCACTGCCTGAGAGAGCCCTCCAAGAGGGCTCCATGTTGCTCCCTGTGGTATCAGAAAGGGATGGGAGCGGGGAGAGATTGGCTTGCAAAGTCCATGTAGTCTGCAAGGGGTAACTGAATCTGGTCTCTCATCCTGGATCCCAAGTGTCCAGCCACTGCCCTGCTGAACCTTAGTACGTGGAGGCCCATGGAGAAGAGTGACCTTCCCAAGCCCACAGCAAATCAAAGACAGGCAGCATTCACCAGCTCCTCAGCATTCACTATTCCAGCCTCACGCTGAGCCTCTTCCCAACTGGGAGAGGTTTTGTGGGTTAGCAAACCCAAGACAGGCGGAGTTCTCAGAGCAGAGGATGGCAATGTTTGTTTCTATTTCTGGCTCCAGAGTATGTGACAATCACAACCGCACCCAGGGCTGGCCCCACTGGAGGAAGGGAGGGAGAGCTGTCCTATCCTGTGCATTGAGGGGGCAGCCCCACAGCCTCTTCTGTCCTTAGTCCTCAACATCCAGACAGCTGCAGCCTTCCGAGGCCCTTGTCCACGTGCCCCACCTCTCTGGTAACACTGCTCTGTGCACCTTGGTGACTGTCTGTCTCACCCTTGGCCATTAGAGCCTGCCAGCCTGTCTGCCTGGCCCCAGGTCTGGCACACACCTGTTCATCTCAAGAGCCAACCATACCCAAGAATGTGGGTATGGGAGCCAATAGCTGCTCCAGTCTGCTTGCTGTGTCTTGTGAGACAAGGTCATTATGTAGCCCAGGTTGGCCTCAAATTCATTACCTCCTGCCTCAACCCATGAAGTGCTGAGATAACAGACATGCATTACTATGCTTGGCCGTCATCAAGTCTCTCTCTCTCTCTCTCTCTCTCTCTCTCTCTCTCTCTCTCTCTCTCTCTCTCATGCTGGCTGGGGTTGGAAGTCAGGTACCTGTACATTGTTAACCCATTCTCTACCACATAATTGCACCCCAGCTTTGTCCTTTCTCATTGCCGTGAAAGTGTTGGCTGAGTCCGCCATTGACGTACACAGAGAGGTTTTAGAGACAGGATCCTGGCCAGGCATTCTCCAGTAACGGTCACCACTTACCCAACCCTCTGATGGGCCAGGCTTTTGAGGCAGGACCAAATGCCACCTAGATGCTGGGACTTCCTCCTTTGGCACAGAGTGCTGTATGTCCTGGGGCTTCCTAAGTCCCTTGCTTGGGACCGCTAGTCACCCTTACAGGCACATACTGTCCCCCCTCAGAGAAATAGTATCTGTGATCTACACCTCACAGGTGGGAATAGCTAGGTGACACCCTGAGTCATGCAGGCGTGGTGGCCATGCCACACTGCTGGTCTGTCTGCAGCTGTCTGTCACTAAGGAGGGACTTGTAGGTGCTGAGGCCTCACTGGTATCTCATGAGGAGTGGAGGAAGACTCCCTGAGACTCTGCTCCCGACTTGGCCTTCTAATACCAGCCCTGGCTCCAGAGCAGAAAGATGTGAGCTCTAGGCCTCATTGTGGCTGGGAAGGGTCGTCTGTGCCCACACTAGCAGTCAGGGAGCCCAGGGGGCCACTGTGACTAGCCAGTGTACCTGGGCCCTGGCATACTGCCATCGTCCGACGGCCCAAAGAGGTAGAGCAACCCAGCACACCCACCCAGTGGGGTGGCAGACACAGGGTGGAGGCAAAGGCTTCCCCTAACTTCCAAAATGGGGAGAGAGCCCAGCCTACGAGCCAAGTTTCCACTCAGTGATTCAACTAACATCTGGAGACTCTGCTCTGTGTGTGGCCAAGTGATACACGTATGGGCAAGACAGACTCATCCTCACCTTCGTGAGGTGAGGCTCCCGAGTGGCCACTACAGAAGACCTGAAAGAGAACACACAGCCCGGGTCTAGCCAGTCTGTTAGTCGAGAGTGAGCCAGAGGCCTAGAGGGGACAATGAAGACAAAGTCAGTGGGTTGGGGAAGAGCAGAACATTCCAGAAAGAAGGAGAAACAAACGGGAATATTCCATACCCAAGGCTTTGTTGTCTTCTGTGAGGTGGGGTGATATGTGTAGCCTGGCAGCTGTGGAGGGCACTTTTGGTGTGCCTCAAAATACTGCACAGAGGAGCCAGGTATGTGGCACACGCCTGTAATCCCGGCACGTGGCGGGCAGAGGCGGGATCTCTGCAAGTTCGAGGTAGCCTTGCCTACTGGGTGCACAGCACTGTGACTGCACAAATGTCACCCACTCTGCTCCAACGATGCTGAGTATGTGTCATGTGATTGCAGTTCAGCTTTGTAAAAACGGCCGTGCCCTGGGCCTGGGAGGGCCTCACTAACACACTCGAGGGGATTCTGGGCCCTGGGAGGGCCTCACTAACACACTCGGAGGGGATTCTGGGCCCTGGGCCCTGGGAGGGCCTCACTAACACACTCGGAGGGGAATGCCGTGGCCTGGACCCCTCATCTCAGCCCTCGACCCCTGCAGCTACCTGTAGCTGCTCAGGACACCCATCACTAGTGAGTGTAGGGAACAGACACTAGTGAAACAGGGCAGGGAAGGACTGCAGGGTGGCTCAACCGGTAAGAGCACTTGTGGCACAAGCAGGAGGACCTGAGTTCAAGTCCCCAGCACCCACATAAAAAGCTGGGCATGCCCGCGTACACATGCCTCTAGCTCAGCACTGCATAGGGCGGAAACAGAAAGATTCGGGTTTGCTGGCTGTCGGCCCAAGTGCAGGCTCAGCGAGAGACCCTGCCTCAAAAACCAAGGTGGAGAGCAGCCAAAGAACATAGTCATTGTTAAGTACTGATACACACACACCCACACCCACATACCCACATACACACACACACACACACC